GGTGTGGATACGCGCCAATGAAAGATGAGCGTTGCCGCCATCGAACCATGCCACCCCCAACAAGCCCCGCCTCCACGCGTACTCACTTGGCGATGAACGCCTCCGTCTCCGGCGAGCTGTGCGAGAGCGACGCCACCACGCACAACCCCTCGTCCTCCTCCGTAAACTCTGAAAAAAAAAAAAAAATGCATGCACACGTAAAGGGCCGGCCGGGTAAACTCCGATCAATCAAATAAAAAAATATATATACATGCAAGACGAAAAGAAGGGAAGATGGAGGAGTGAATGAGGTTGTAGGGCGGGGGAGAGGGGACATGGTACGAGCCGGATAGCGGTAAGTGGTGGCCTTTGTGGTCAGTTGGCACGAATCGGGCAGCCGCCGGGGGGCGGGGTCTGCAGACAGGGTCTGCAGACAGGACTTGAAGTGCGGCAGGTGCGTCACGGCGGGGAATGGAAACAAGAGGATTTACGAAGCCGACCAATGATTTTGAGCAAACCTTCACGCTGCAAACAAAAAAAAAAAGAAATGGAACCGAGCGAAAGAGGCAGCAATGAAATCGAATTGCAAAAAAACACAGCTACTTCGTGTCTCCAGGGAACCAGAAAACAGCGAAAAATGTCCGGAAAACAAAACCACATCTTTTGATGGGATACTTCTTTCGTCGATCAAGCCATGACATGACACAGAGACAGACGCACGCCTTCAGATTGGGGCCCGACTAGTGCCTCTGTGCGACCTACGATATCTCCACGTGCACAACGGCGAACTTCACGGTTTCATCTTCGAGCAACCACGTCGGCCCAGGCGATTGGTAGAATCGTATCTGACAACGTGCTTCATTCTTCTGGGAAAAAGGGTGGACCTACAGTAGTTGTGAAGCTCCAGGAAAATAAATAGATAAATAAAAGCAACAGAACACGTTATTCAGTGTTGCGGCGCGGACCGGACACACCGATCTTGCGCTCATCAGGCACGCTCGCCCCCCAACACCGCTCTTGGTGTATCGACGCAAACATGCTGGCATTGCATCTTCGACCATTGCTCTCCGTCGCACAACACGCGATTGTTCCCGAAGGAACAAGGTCTCTACACATCAACCAACCTCTACCTGCAGCCGAGTGGGCAACGACCGTCGCGACAGCATGAGATGGACACCAGCCACAACGCCCCTTTTGCACTAAACGCCGGGACAGGCGGTGGCGGGAAGCGCAACTACAAAGTGTGACAGGCAGTCGGGGATCTGCTCACCTTTGCAGCTGATAGGGGACCGCGCCTTGTCCTTGTCGGACTGCGTTTCGATCGTGCCGTGCCGTGGTTGGCCGTTGGGCGGTTAACCAGGAGAGCAAAGATAGCATGCAGGCACGGCGCAGACAATAGGGCAAGGGCAGAGTGAATCAGACGGATGGGACGACGGTGCGATGGCACTGGCACGCAGCACAATTAACACCAGGGTGGCAGAGGCCGCAGTAGCACCAGTATAGCAGCAGCAGCCACAAACAACAGATCGCACATGCGTCTGACAGAATTGTGAAGAACTGTATACGGTTGACTGCGCTTGTCGTTCGTTCCCAGGCACACAAGACACTCTCCGCCGCAGCTCGGCGAAAAAAAAAACTGAAACGACCAAACCTCCACAGGTGCTTAATAATTCCGGGCGGCATCATGGAACGCTTAGTGTAAGGACCGCAACGGGCTTTTTTGTCCAGCAACGGGCTTACTGGACTTGTGCACCCAGCAGATGTCATTCTGTGCACCCTCACTGCGAAGACTTGAACGCATTCCCATGCATACAGGATTCCGTCTAGAGGACTGTAGATTTTTGTAGATGGTAAACAAAACGGTACCAAACAAGGCATCCTCTTCTTCGGGTGGATCAGTTCATGCAAGTAGATTTGGTGAGGCTTCCCACCTCCACGAACGCTCCCTCCCCCTTGACGGCAAAGCACTAACTATTTTCTTCGGGTGGATCACTTGATATGTACGTAGGATTTGGCGAGGCTTCCCACCTCCACGAACGCTCCCTCCCCTTTGGCCGCAAAGTACTGAAATAATAACCAAAGTATTATTTTCCTCCGGGTGGATCACTTCATATGTACGTAGGATTTGGCGAGACATCCCACCTCCACGAAGGCTCCCTCCCCCTTGACCGCGAAGTACGTGCGCGGGTCTTCCGCGGCCGGCACCCCCACAACCCCGAGGACCGGCACCCCGGCTTCGCAGAGCCCGACGTTCACCGTGAACTGCCCGTTGCGCTTGATGAACTCCTGTGGGCGTAAAAACAAAAATGGAGCAAAGAGGTGGGAAAGGAGGTTAGAAAACCGGTCTCATTGGTGACACAGGGGGGCACCGAAAAGTAAAGCGAAGGAGGGCAGGAGGGATATATTTGCCTGGTTACATCGGGGTAGAAGAAATAGAAAGGAGGAGGGCGGGGGGGGGGGGGGGGGGGGGACAATAACCTTCCCAGGGTTTTTGTATTCACAAAACATG